TGATTTTCTGTTTGGATAGTTAATATTGCAATGTCTTTTCAAATTACTAATCTTTTTTTCTACAGTGCCTAACTTGCTATTAATTCCTATCCAGTGTATTTGTTACTTCAAAAATTTGCTTTGAGTCTTTTAATATCTTCTGTGTCTCTACTTAATGTGTTCGATCTTTCCTCTGGTTTTCTTTTAATACATGGAATATGGTTCCATTACCTTTCATTTCTTCTCTGCTACTTCTGGCATCTGTGCCAGCTCTGGACTGGTTCTGATTCTTCTCTTCACTTGGGTTGTATTTTTCTGCTGCTTTTTGTGCCTGGTAGTTCTCGATTGGGTGCCAGACTGTGATTTTTACCTTTTTGGGTACTGGATATTTTTGTATTACTATAAATATCCTTGAGCTTTGTTCTGGGATATAATTACTTGGAAACAGTTTGATCCTTTTGGGTCTTGCTTGTACAATTTGTTTGGTAGGACTAGAGCCATGTTTAGTTTAGAGCGAATTATGTCCTACTAATGAGGCAAGAACCTTCAGAGTATTCAATGCTCTGTGAATTACGAGGTTTTCCAGTCTGGCTGAAGGGAACAGGCAATATCCCAGGCCCTGTGTGAGCTTTGAGTACTGTCCTGTCAAATCCTTTTGGGTGATTCCTCAGCCTGGAGTAGTTTCCTCATATGCACACACTCTGCTGAATACAGTCAGGGGACCTTCGGTAGATTCGGGAATTCTCCCTTTGTGCAGCATTCTCCACACCAGTTCTCTGCACTGTGAACTCTAGTTGCCTTTGCCTCCCGAGATTCTCAGCCCCGTCCCTTCAACTAGGGGAGGAGCCTGCCAAGGCAGTAAGCTGGGGCAGTTGTAGGGCTCACCTTCTTTGCTCCACACTTCACAGGTATTATTGTCCTTTTTTGTCTGATGTCCAGTCTGTCCCTGTTGGCCAGACGCAGAAGTTGACTTTTAAAATTGTGACTTGTGCACAAAAGAGCACACGTAATTATCTTGTAAAGTGTCTCTCTCTGAGGAACCAGAAAAGAATCTGAATAATATATGCCAGCTCTAGCTCTCACATTTAGTTTTTGGAACAGATTTCTTAGTTTTTGCACAAAAGCCAAAGCGCAATTGATATAATTTAATTACTTTGGTCTCACATTTCACTGAGATGAAGAGAAAAGCATTCTCCCTGCATGACATGTTTCTGGCTCAATATGGTATTTTTGAAATTTCCAAAATAATGTTTGACAAGACAAAAAAATCCCTTTGGAAAACATAAGCTTATTTAAGTGATCATATATAAGCTCTTTTTCTATCAGGAAAATTATTCTGCATGTAAAGTTATATTTCATTTTAAACTTTGAATGCTTCCATTTTATTGTTTGTAATGGCAAAAGGTAGGGGAAAACCTAAATGTTCTTCTGTGGGAGGCTAGCTAACTGAATGGTGGCATATTCGTACAGTGTATGTTTGAAAGAACGGACGGCTCTAACGTGTACCGGTACGTAATGGCCTAAGATACACTGACAAACTGGTAGGAGCAGCTGCCCCTGGGAATAAGAATTAAAGATTGGGATGGAGGGAGAGATTTGTTTTTCACTGCATACTTTTATGTTATTTACTTCTTTAAAATTTATGTACATGTATTACTTTTCAAACAAACCTGTTTTTAAAAAAGAAAAAGAAAACTGTTCTTTGACTTCTCTAATAGGAGTGATCGACACAGGAATTGCCCTATTTGTCGCCTGCAGATGACTGGAGCAAATGAATCTTGGGTGGTGTCAGATGCACCCACTGAAGATGATATGGCTAACTATATTCTTAACATGGCTGATGAGGCAGGCCAGCCTCACAGACCGTGACCTTGGGGGTGAAGTGTTTTGTTGCTATTGTGGGCTGCAAGCACTTGGTCACGGGGAAAGAATGCAGGGATGTTGTGGCGCAGGCACCGAGAACTCAATTTTCCCTGCCCTCTTATTTTCACTTTTCTGACAATTTCTCCCATTTCTTTTGATAAACTTTTCATGTCTTCCATTTGTGGTAAACTAAAATTTGCTACTGTTTTAGACCATATTTTTCTATTATTTATCTGCTCTAATATAGCATATTAGAACTAATTGCTCTTGAATCCTTTGCTGAGATAACAGCAACATTTCCAGAGGCTTCTGAAATACTACTATTTTTCAGGGTAGGAGCATTCTGGAATCTGTTTAGTTAGGTTTAAAATAAACCATGAGCCCTGACCAGTGGGGTTCAGTGGTTAGAGTGTCCCGTGCACCGAAGGGTCACGGGTTTGATTCCCAGTCAGGGCACATACCCAGGTTGCGGGTTCGATCCCCAGTTGGGGCACATACGGGAGGCAACCGATTGATGTTACTCTCACATCAATGTTCCTCTCTCCTCCCCTTCCTTTCTCTCTAGAATCAATGAAAAACTTTAAAAATAAATAAACAATGAATGTTAAAAAGTTGTAGCTATCTAAGAGATTTTTAAATGACTGAAAATGTAGAATACTTCAAAGTGCATGTTACTACTTAAATTAGTCTTTCTGCTGGAATCCAAGGATTATGTATGCCCCCTTGTGGTTANATGTTACTACTTAAATTAGTCTTTCTGCTGGAATCCAAGGATTATGTATGTCCCCTTGTGGTTAATTATTACTCCTTTATTAATTATTACTTGAAATGATCCAGTTATTTCGTAACTTTAGCTGTGCATTTTGGAATTACATGTTTTTTACTTAAAAGCTTTTTTTCCCCCCATGCTGTATAATTTGGGTGAAGACTATAAAGTTGCGCATGACTTTGCCTTGTAAATGGATTTCTGCTGGGGAATCGTCTAGAAATACTTTCCCACAGCTGGGGAACTGTTTTAAATAATGCTCATGCGTCTTGGAGTTTCAGAATGAAATTTTTGTCACAGATCCTAAATTTTATATGTCTAAATTATGTAAAATCATTCAATATTGGTTTATGGTGCTTTTATTTTCTTGACTTGAAAGCATCCTTCTGAGGCCAAGCCCTCAAACTTCTTAGGTAGATTACGAGAGAAGAAAATAGGATGTAGCCTTTTAGCCATACATACATAAAACACCTCTGAAAATTAGGAGATAATTTTGCTTTCTTACTGTTTCATTCGACTTCCTTCGAAATAGTTTGAAAGAGTACAGTCATAATGGAATTATAATGTTCAGTGGCACTTCAACTATCCTTTTTAAAAAATTTTGCTTATAAAGTTAAATTTTTGTTTTATGTTAGGCATTATTATGTCAGCATATAATAAAACTAGGGCCCGATGTCTCCTTTTAAAAGAATGTTAACATTCCATGTAACTTTCCTGACTTCTTGGTAAGTTACAAATAATTTGAAGTACCAAAGTATACAATTTAAGTTGCTGCTTATTGATGGCAGAATTTTTGGATACTAGGATTTTAATAGGCATGCAAATTAAATAATTCATTTCTAAGAAAAATTTCTGACCAAAGGTGGCTTGATTTTTACCCCAAAATACTGATAACTAATTGGTTGACATTCATGATGGGGGCAGGTCAGTACCAAATAGCTACATACTCACTCTGGGCATTTATGCAGAGTACTGAGGGCTCTATCATATGGACCTGGCAATGCACTTTACCGTTGTGTTACCTTGAGAAAGTCATTTCCTCTGGTCTGTAGGTTCATATTTTAGAAACTGAGACTTTATTTGTGGTTTTCACACTTAATTTCAGCAGTAGAATCTTTTTTTTCCAAGTAAAATCTTATCAGAACTCCCATATACATGCACTCTATGCACAACCTACATCACTTTATAAATTCATATTTTATTAATATAAATTTCTTTATATAAACTTCATGTACTGTAATACTAAATGTTATAAAGTCAACCAATGAAAACATATATTAATACATTGGTGATATCAGTGTATTAGAATTTGGTAACACAGTTGTATGATGGGACTTGTTTTTTAAATTAAAATTTTTCCCCCAAAAAAGTGTATTTTTTAAATTAAATTTAAGTCAAATTTGCAGAACCCTGACTCTCTTCCATGGATTGTTAGTATTCTATGGGACATATTTTGAAAACTTTGGGATAAATAATCCCCTGATATCTTTTCCAGCTCTAAGATTTTAAATCCTTTAGATTGGACTTGCTGAGTCCAACTCAGATTGCTTAATTTAAGAATGTTTCTGAAAATGAACAAAGTTGCTTTACAGATTTTTGGATCTTTCCCAGGTATTGCCAATGATTTTACCCCTCAGAATCCTTCACCTTTCAAGGAATTATTTAATAGTGAGCACAGGAACTTGATATTGCCCAAACCTTTTTACTTTTCAGTATGAGCTCCAAGACACTAACTGATCTACTGTGAAATATAAAATGTATTTATTAGCCTTATCTAACAAATGAGCAGTTTTTTGCTTACTCCATTAAACTGGGTGATAATTCTTTAGATGTGAATATTACGTACGTTATAACAACTAATCGTAAAAAGTTGTAAATTTGTTTAATGGATGAAATGTACACTTTTTGTATTCTGTACAGCTTTGTCTTTTTTAATTATGAAGTACTTAAATGCACTTACTATGATAGGTAATACAATGTGTGCCTTCTAGGATTTGTGAAATGGTTTTGTGACCGTAAGGAATTTATTTTATGTTACAAAGTTTTCCCTATCCTAACTCAATAACAAAGGGTTTACGCATATTACAATACTGTAGAACTTTAGTTTAAGACAATGAATTTGACTCTGTACTGAATTTAGAAGTGAAGAGTAACAGTGTTTTACTCTTAGGATGAACTGATACATTGTGCAATAAATAATCTTTAACAAGTAAACTTTAGTTACTTGAAGAAATTTTTTTCTTATGTGGTTTCACATTCTTATATACTAAATGTTTATATTTCTTAGAGGACTATTTTGTATTGTGCTCTGGGGGTTTGTGATGTCTGTGTACTATGTTTTAAAATTCATTTCAAATTGGATTCAATTTTCTTATACCTAATATATATCTGAGTAATAAGGCTTCTTGAAAGTATCGTTTGGTCAGTGGTTTTTAACATTAGGAAGTTGGATTTATTAAAAGGCAGTCTGAAGAATTTGCATTTTTAACTGGTTTCTTCATTAAGCCAAGCTTACCTCATCTATCCAGGAATAAAAAACTACTTGGAGGTTAGGGAAATCAGCTGATCACCCACATTTGTGCTGGACAACACAATGACAATGTAACAAACAGTTTATAGCAGGCTCTCATTTGTTTTCTTATCTTTTAAAAATAATTGATAACATAGTCCATCCTATGACAGTTTTGATGTTTACCTTATAAAATCATTTCTAAGATAAAATTAATGTAATTAGAGAAGCATATTAGACTCTTAGTGCTGAGAAAAGGAGAGCCATTTATAGGAAGAAGTGGTAGTTTATAATTAAATTTACTGATATATATCATCATGAGAACACATTTTGACCTCAAAAGACATAAAAGCCTCCTCATATGTTTTGCTAATTTTGCAGCTGTGTATAGTCTTACTCTTTGGCACCTTCTATCTTTTCTAATAAAATATTTATTTAGAGGTTGAGGGTGGAAAAATTCCCAAGGAACTATATTTGTCTGATTAGTGTTCCTTTTATTGTAGTTAGTTACATTTGTTCCTTATAATAGTCATTGTTCAGGTATTGAGTTCTTACGTATGTTACCAGCATAGCACCTTGAGCTGTGTCTCCAAATCCAGTAAAAGATGAATATTGTTTTGCCAACACAGCACTCAGAAACAAGTAAAGAGAGAGCCAGAGGGCTGGTTTGCGACTCTGCTTTAATCCAGGATGAGAAAGTAAAGGCAGGACAGGCCTTGGTAAATACCAACCCAGGAGCTGCGGTTTGTTTTCATGAGACAAAAGGCAACGACATGGATCATTCCAGCAGTGCAGTTTGAAGTAGCACATTACATGAAGTTGAGCCTTTTAGAATAAGGGATAACACGCCCCAAAAACTGCTGTCTTAGAAACATGGGCTAAGATACAGTTACCTTTGATTCCAACTGTGAACGTGAAAGAAAGTCGCATTCACACACATACACCCCCCAAAGGCCAATTAGGTACAATGACGTAATAAAAGTGCAAAGTGCTATAGAAGAAGGAAGGTGTATGGAAAGTTTGCAGGACAAGTAAAGTGCAGTAAGTGTTGGCTGAACAGATAAAAGCAATATCCAGGGGAAAGGAAATGAGCACGTGTGGCAGAAGTTAGAGAAAAGACAGCGAAGATTCACCTTCGGGTCTAGTGAGCTTCAGTTTGGAATTTCTAGTTTCCCAGTACATGTCATCCATGTTTGAATCTTAGTTAAAAATAAATTAGTAGTTATTGATAGCTTTTCCTGACACCCATTCTTTTATTACAGTAAAAAAACTTAACTCGAAATAGTTTTAAATTATTGAGCCATAGTCCCAACAAACTTTATTTAATAATTAAAAACAAATGCTTGATACAGATAAAATGACAATGAAAAACTGTACAATGTTTGCAATGTTAGGGCAAATGTATACAAATGGGGGCTTTTCAAAAATAATGCCTAAGATAAATGCTGGGTTTTCATTCAATTTCTTGATTAGCTGTAAGATAGCATATCTGTTTGCCTAGTAAAAAACAAAAAACAACAATACTACATTTATTCCATATGCTAAGCTGACCAGTGGAGGGGGACAAGCATTAAAAAATAAAGTCACAGGACAAGAAAATCTAAAGTCAAATAAGCATTTCATAGGCAAAAATAGGGTTCTTCCAACCCTATAATGATTCGAAGGACTTCCCATAGTCTGCATTTGCCCACAGAAATAGACAAGGTCCTTAGGCAGCTTATTGTGTACTAGGAGCACACATCCTTAAAAAGTTTCCAAAAGAGAAATTCATTTATTCAACATACACTTATTGAGCACCTACTATGTACCAGGCACTAGTAACACAGATGAGTACATTGGTAAAGCTTAAATTCAGACCGGTCTTAAAAAATATTTTCCACCTGGCCCCTGGGACCACTTATAAATCTTCTGAAAAGGTCTGTGTATTAGATAAGGGAGAAATTTTGCCTTTAAAAAGAAGTGCACCTGGTTACAATGATAGAACATTTGTGAGGCCTCATGGAACAGCGGAGAAAGGACTGGATTAGGAGGAGGGAAACCTACCTTTANAAGAAGTGCACCTGGTTACAATGATAGAACATTTGTGAGGCCTCATGGAATAGCGGAGAAAGGACTGGATTAGGAGGAGGGAAACCTACCTTTACTTATTAGCTGTATGACCTTAAGGTAAATCTCACTTCTCTGGCCCTAATTCTTCATAAGTAAAATGATAATTGGGCTACAGTCATAGAGTATTACAGAAAAGGAACAGAGATCATCTATTCCAGTGCCTTTCAAAGTCCTTAGTTCAAGTGAAAATTTGTAAGTCCCAATGAAGAAGCTAAGGCAGCACCCAGAACCTCACTCCCCCTGCCCTCCCACCCTGAAGTTGGGAGAGGGGTTCAAGACCTCATTTGAAAACCTCTCAGCTAGTCCAAACCCGCACTTTTCAGATGAAGAAACCAAGATAGGAGTGACCGTTTCAAGGTGCACATTTGGCTTCCTAAGTAGAAAGGAGGGTGGAGGGCTAAATAAAACAGTTTAAGAAATTCATTAAAAACACAAGGAAGGAAGTTGTCTATTTTAATTCTCTCAAAGTAGCTCCTTTATGAAAGGGAGCTTTGAAATGGATTTTGTTTAAGGCAGCTAGCCAGCCAGAGGCTGAAATGAACAACTACCAACTAGTCTGCAGGGCCGATAGCGGGCTGTGGCAGGAAAGCACAGGGACCCCGTGTCGACAGGCACTTGGACCATGGAAGACCCTGGCCCCAACAATGCAAGCACTAGCGGTTTCAAGAGAAATATTTGGAAAATCAGGAATGAGCACAGACAAGTGTCCAGCTCCCAGGTCCCCAAGGAGCAGCCACCATCTATTACTCAGAAATACTAGCAAGTGGGCACGTTAGATCTTAAAGTAAACAGTGTGACCAAAATCACTAGGTCTGAAAGTTCTTCAGAGACCTCTTCTCCCTGGAAGAAAGTCCTAGTGTGGTATCTTGAGCACTGTTAACCACAGCAACTTGAAATTAAACCAGAAAGTTAAAATCCATGTCCAGTGCTAGACCTACTTGGTCAGGGCTGTGATCTGTTCTGATTTCATGGCATCAGACAGGAAGCTGAGCTCGTTGCATAAGGTCTCGTATCGGAACGCCATCCGGATCTGAGCAACATTTGTCTTCCGAATATCATTTCCTTCAGGTCCTTCTTTATAATAATTTTGTCCCAGAAACTTTTGCTTTTCCTGTGCACCAAGAGAAAATACAAATCAAACAATACACCTTAGACTCGCTTTCTGTATCCACACGGTGGCTCTGGCATTTGGCGACACCAAATCCAACGTGTCCCTGAAGCAGGTGCTCCATCAGGACAGGACGTCTTTCCCCACAGGGTTCTTAGTTTCCTCCTGACCTCCGTGTCCTCAGGGATGTCACCCTGACAACTACATTCATGCCCTTCATTTCTGGCTGTGCCTTCCTTGATCAGAAAGGAAAGGTTACTGCCGGTGAGGGAAAAGGCAAGGTGAAGACCAAGAAGCCCCTCCTGAGAGCTGACAAGGGCAGGCAGACAGGTGTCTGGGGACAGCCAGTCCAAGGAACCAAGTGCACAGATTGAACCTGCAGCCTTCAACTCCTCTGCATCAGCACCGATGGGAGCAGCACCCACGCAGCCCTCTCCCTGTACCAGCGACATCATCCAAAGGAGGCACCCGGGGACCCAAGGCACCATCTAGAGCAATGGTTCTTAGCCCTGCACATCAGAATCACCTAGGAAGCTGTAAAAAAAACTTCCTGATGTCCAGGTCCCATCCCTGGAGTCATCTGTTCAATCTAGGTACTATTCATCTATTCAAGAAATGTTGAGGGCCTAATATATGCTGGGGCTATTCTAGGCCGTAGGGATAGAATGCTGAACGAGACAGTCCTCCCTGATGGAACATACATTCTAGAAGGAAAGGCAGGAAACCACATAACTAGGTAGTGCAACATCAGTAATACTATGAAGGGAAGCAGGTTAAAGGGATGGAGAATGATGGCAAGTGTGCCTGCTGTAGATGGTCGGGGGAGGCCCCTGAGGAGGACACTGGAACGGAGGTCTGGAAAAGGTGACAGCAGCTGGGAAAACTCAGAAGTCCCCCCAGGATTCTCCCCTAGAGCGTGAGTTTCAGCATGGCAGACCCCCTGCTTGTCCCTTCATCACTGATCCCGGAGCCCAGAAAGTACCGGGTCGACAGGCACTCGCTGTACCCGTGTTGCAAGGCGGGAGGGTCAGCTTGCCGTCACACCGTACCTGATGCGAGAGGCCACTCTGCAGCACACTGTTCCTGGCGATTTCACACAGGTCACACGTGCTCAGCTTCCACACCTGAGCTGCAATTGCATATTCTTCCATCAGTGCTTCCTAGATCCCCCCAGAAGTCAATGCATTAGATGGTAGAATATCCATTTTAGTACCTCACAGATTTTCAAAGCTAGAAACATGAGATGTTGCAGATTTAATTTTTTTCTTTAATGACTGGCACCTGGATAATCAAACATCTTCCCCCTTAAATGAGAAACTCCTAAGATTTTTTTGGTGTGAAATCTCAGGTTACCAAGGAGACATATATCAAAGAACACCTACATACGTATTTGTTAACAGCACATGTTTGAAGCCCTGTGCTGGTCCTGAGGACACCAGCCTATTCTCCTGGGACCGTCTCCTGGATCAGGCAAACCTTTAGTACCTGCTCTATAGCTTTGTGATGTGTTTAACAGACCATTTTCTTAAGATTGTCCAAAAATCAAAGTTAATCTGAGTAAAGCACTAAGAGCAGAGATGGAACCTAAATAAGAGTGAGAAATGATCAATATTAGTAGTGAGACGTGTAATCCCCAAAGGATTTGGGTTTGGGCTGTGCTTTCACTTTAGCTTGTGGGATGTGAAATGTCTGACTAATCATAAGGCCTTCCATTACCCCAGTGCCTCTGTATCCTAGAGCCATGGTTCTTAAAATGTGGTCCCAAAACCCATGGGGGTCCCCAAGGCCTTTTAAAAGGTTCTACTTCTTCCAACTACCTACCTTTGTGAAACAAGGTTTTCTTCATGTACTTTGATAGAAACAATTTATCACAACAGACTGAATGCAGATATGAGACTCCAGCTGTCTTCTATTAAACCAGACATTAAACAGATTTGCAAAACTGTAAAACAATGTAAAACTCATGCTCTCTGAGGGCCTCGATTCTGGAGAGTATAACAGGGTCCTAAGACCAAAAGCTTGGAGAACGTGTCCTAGAGGACTCTGGGACTACTGTTTTTACTAATCAGTGGCTGTCTCATCAATACCATCAAAACGTGCTTGGCACACTAACGGCTGGTCCCCATGCACATCGCCTTTCCCTTCCTCTTCCCTTTCCCCAGAGGGCCAAAGTGTAGTAATAATAGTGTTAATAATAATAGTACTAACAAAAACGGTAGCTAACATTTTGAATACAGGCTATATGCAGACACTGTATTAGACGCTGGTTCATCCTAGTGAATCCTCACCATACAGGACAGGTCCGTATGAGGCAACTTTAGCCCTATTTTACACATGAAAAGGAATGAGACAGACATCAAGAGCTAGTAAATTCAAAGAAAGGGAAATAGGGAAAGGCTAGGAAATGAAATTGTGCCTTCAAAGATTCAAGGACCCCAGCCCGGCGGGGCGGGGCTCAGGGGTTGAGCATCGACCTAGGATCCAGGCGATTGGGGTTCGATTCCCGGTCAGGGCACATGCCCGGGTTGCGGGCTCGATCAGTGACTCTCATCATTGATGTTTCTCTCTCTGTCTCTCCCTCTCCTTTTCTCTCTCTAAAATCAATAATTAAAAAAAAAAAAAAGATTCAAGGACCCCAAAAGAGGGCTCCTGGAAGGAACACTTCCCTCACCAGGAGTTTACCTGCTGTCTTCACGGGGCCACCAACCTCACCCTTGAAGCAGACCTGAGCCGTGCACTCAGGTGCCTGCAGTGGGAGGACAGGCCAGGACTGGGCCCCGCTGGGGGCACCTGAAGCCCTCCCCTCCCCCTAAGGTCCTCACCTTCGTGTAGTGGAACTGCATGGGGTCATCAGTGGAGAGGGAAACATGCAGTCCCTTGTGCAGGAATTCCCTCAGAGGGTTCTTGGAATATTCGAGGAACAGACTATTGTTGCTAAGAGGAGACATCGCAATGGGGATCTGAGCCAGGTAATAGAGATACTGCAACACCGGACTCTGCAAAAGAACCACCAAACTCAGGTGACGAGGGCCAGAGAGGGGAGGGAGGGGAGAGGGTGGAGAGGAGGAAGGGAGGAGAGAAGCATTATCAGTGGAAGCCAGGGGCCTGGGCAGTGTCTGCCAGTCCCCAGCCAAGCCCGAGTTCCCCAAAGCCAGAACACCCCCCCTTCCCCTGACCTCTACATTCACCTCCTTNCCCCCTCCCCTGACCTCTACATTCACCTACGTCACATGCCCACCTCTCCCCGGGACTGCTCTCCTGCCCAGTGTTGGAAGGGCTCCCTCTTGCCTCCAAGGTGGAGGCACAGCTCAGGGCAGGAAGGGAGGCTGCATGCCCAGCCGACCCAACCTACACACTCCGCTCCCCTCCCCAAGGCGCTGACCCTAAGTGGTCGGTCCAGAAGAAGCCCCGCTTGGTGGTTTTGCTGCTTTGACTGCAAACATTCAGGCTGAGACTATAAACACTGCAGCTTCTCGGAGGTGGGAAGGGGCAGACCTGACTGGGCCAAAGTGGTTCCTTTGATGTGGCACCCACCCCACACGGAAACGTGACAGGTGGTTAGACCTCCCAGGACCAGGGTAGGGGAGCAGGGTGAGCAAACACCGTTCCTAGGGGAGCAATTCAAGCGATGGAGCAGACCAAATGCACAGCGTTCGTGGGAGCATTTACACCAGCGAAAAGCTGGGACTCTGTCCAGCAACTAGAGATTGGTTGAATCAATTATGGACCAACCATACAGCATGCCATCCTTCCAACAGCCTTCGGAACGAGGAGCATACATGTTACGTTGCAGCACAGAAAACTGCTTGTTAAAGTTAAGGGACAAAGAGGAACCAAAAATCTGTGTTCATCATTATAACGAGCATTTAGAAATATGCTCTGGAAAAAAATGGAATTGAAAAAACCAAAACACTACAAATGGCTGTTTCTATTAAAACTAAAGCAATATGGGGTTTTTTTCCATTTCTCCATTTTTTGGAAATCCAAATTGTGTTATATTTATAATATTACTTTCATAATTAAATATGAAACCAAGATGACTACAGACAGCCCAGCCCAGCCCGGTAAAAGCCCCGGGCCTTTTAGCATCACTGGCTAGAGGCTCTCGGGGGGCAAACAGGAGCCCAGGAGATCCCATTCCCCCCCAGGGGAGCCCAGGGCAGGACTGTCGCTGAAGGGCAGTTGTCTGTGAATGGCTCGGTTACCTTCTTGAGGAGCAGCCCATGGGAAATGTTGTCGGCGGTCAGGAAAGCAGACACCAGGTGGGTGATGGACCCAGCCTCACCACAGTGAGGCCGGAACAGGAATGTGCTCAGACCTCGTTCCCTGCAGAACAAGTGAGGCAGGCTCCAGGTCAGTGAGGGCCCCTGGTCCACACTGCCCAGGACCCCATAGGCTGGGGCGTGCACCCCTAACTCAGGGCCTGCTTCAGGGAAGACAGTCACCCATGGCAGGGTGAGCACAGCTAACTCTGGGCACCCTGGAAACTGACCCAAAATGCAGAGGCCAGGCCCAGATGCCTCAGAGCCAAGAGATGCCATCCCTGGGGAGCAGAGAGGGGGCCTAGCGGCAGAAAGAGATCCTGCCCTGTCCTCCATTCACTCCTCCCCTCCCCTCTTCACCAGGCCTGTAACCCAGCTTTATAGACCTTCAGAGCAGGAAAAGCCATGAGAAATCATTGAGTCCAACTTCTCTGTTACACAAACAGACAAACCCAGAGAACCCACAGTGAGACATCAGAAGCCACTGAGCAGGTTAGCAACAGAGCTAGAGCTAGAGCCGCATGTCTAAAAGCTCAGCCCAGACGGCCCCCACCCAACACCAGGCCATGTTCTTTCCATCAGAGTCCCGTTCAGAACCTCCACCCCCACAAACTAGCGCTGACTTAGCTGAGCTAGTGAGGCCCCGTGGCCCAGCAGGGGCGGGAGGGGTGCTAGACTTGCAGAAAGGAATGGATGGCTCAGTGTCCTGTGCGCTGGGCACCCTACTCCCGCCACGTGTGCCTCATCTGTGCGTGAGCCCTGGTGGAAGCCTGTGCATGTAAGACCAGTGGACATAAGCTCCATGAGGGGATGGGCTTAGTCTGCTTTTTTCCCTACAGTGTGCCCAGTGCCTAGGACAATGTCTGTCACATAGCAGGTGCAATAATCTGTTGCATGAATGACTGCCTGTGTGAACACTAGGTGTATGGCAAGTGAATATGCATGTGTTTTGGCACATCCTATGTCTGTATCATATCAGGGATGGGGTACACGTGTAGGTGTTAGTGGGCGTGCATGTGAATGTGTGTGTACAGGCATGGGGTTGGCTTTGTGGTATGTATGATCGATTGTGTGTGTGGTGGTGGGCACGACTACATGTGTAGGTGGCCCTGTGCAGGAGGCCGGGTCATGTCCCTGGGTTTGAGGTGTGAGGGCCCGTGTCTGTGGGTGCAGGGCCAGCTCACCCACCTGCGGAGGTTGTTGAGCACCATGATGTTGGCATACATGTAATACAGGTAGTAGCTGTAGGGCGGGTTCTGCTCACTGGTCCAGATGTCCGGGTTGGGACTCTTGTCCGAGAACATGTGGTCGCTGTGCTTGGATTCATCGTCAACACTGTCGAACCCTGTCACCTGGCGGGATGAGGGGTCCCACATCAAGCCAAGGCAGATGAGCTGCCAGAGACCTTGCAGTCCAGGCCTCTAGGGTTCCCACCTCAGCCGGGGATCCCAGGGCCAGCCTGAGGCACAGTGCCCTCAGGGGTGGGAAGTGGGCACAACGCCACCATCTTTCCTCCAGGGCTTCCAAAGGTACCCAGAGGGCCAGGCTGGAGAGTGCTAAGCCCGTGGGTGGTGGCAATGGTGAGGGGACACTGGGGCCAGGTGGACAGTGAGGCAGCCATACCTACACCACCCATCGCTCCACGGGGCCAGGGTAGCCAGCAGCCACTACCACCAGCAGCAGCGACACCAGCTTTGAGGGGAAAGGGGACAGGCACGTCCCATGCACACACTATGCATCAGCCCTGCTCGAAGCACTTACCACACGTCAACTGATTTAATACTCAGTGACCCCATGAGGTAGGGCTTGGCTGTGAGCAAACTGAGCCAAAGTGCTTAAGCAGCTTGCCCACGGCAGACCACCAGGCTCCGAGCCTAAATGGGCTCAGTATCTGGACTCTGGGGCTGTAGGTGGAGAACACCCAAGGGCATGACCCAGGTGTAGCCACAAAAAACAGCCTGGATGCTTCACAAACAGGCCACGGGGGGCCCGATCCAATACAGCCCCTTGGAGGGCTGAGCCATGGTTCTGGGAGGAGGTAGCTCTACTCACCAACGCTTTCCCAGGAACTGCCTCTGAGCCAGGTCAGAGAAGCTCAGGAGACTCCTGTCCTTCCAGTTTCACCTCAGCTGGGGCCCAAACTATACCCCTGGGGGGCCCCACCTTAGGCACAGGCTTCCTAGTCACCTGCTCCCAGAGGTCAGGCCCTGACCACAACACGCACCTATGAGGACACAGCCTCTCGGCCAGTACCTGGGGCAGTCTCACTAATGTGCCCTCCTTGCGCTCAGCCACAGCACTGCTCTAGGGGGCACTGAGAGACTGCTCACTTCACTCCACAACCGGCCCAGCTAGGTCTGCCATCCTCTCCCAAGGGAGCAAGGGACCTGAGGGTCTTGGCAGAATCTTCCCTGTCAGAGCCATATATGTCAAAGGAAGGACAGGGTCCCCACCATAACTCTCAGCGTGGCCTGGACAGGTGTGGGGACCAGGAAGGACCTCGGTTCTGCTTTGTGCTCACCGGCTCCAGCTTCACCAGGACTCTCAGAGCTTGGGGTAACGTCAGCCCCTCTACTGAGCTCTGTACCCAACCAATGCGAGGCCTTGAACTGGACCTCCCATGGGCCTCAAGCACAAGATATGTCCAAACCGTAACTCTTCCTCTCCTCCTCAAGTCTGCTCTTCCCGCACTGTCAACAATGGTCCCGGAACGGCGTACCAACCGCCCCCAAGACACCAGGCACCAAGATGCCCCTGGACTAGCTCACCTTCAGGCGCTGCCCAGGTCCCATCAGCCCACACCCCTGCCCACACACTGCCGGAGTCCTGGCCTACCTCCTGCCTACGCCACGCTCTTCTCAATTTAGGAGGCAGTGTGCTATGGGGAGAATGACGCCTGCTCAGGAGTCAGGCACCTGGATATGAATTCCAGTTCTGCCACTTTTTAGTTTTTATCTCCTCATATATAAATTGGAGCTGGTAGCTTCACAGGGCTAGTGTGAGGATTAAATGGGACAGTCCCTGGAGAGCACCTAACACAGCGTCTAACACACAGCTAGCACACAATGCTGCTTATTATGAACACCAGCCATGGTGTAAAGTAGGGCAACCATGAGGCTCAAGCATGATCATGTCAGGGTTTGGACCACTGGAGCGGGGAGCCAGCAACAATGGAGCCATTACGGCTAGTTCAAGCCCCCATCCTCTGTCTGCCACCTCCAGCCACCTTCTGTTCCAGGCCACTCACCACACAGCAGCCAGGATGGTGTTTGTCTAAAATAGATTCAACAATGTCCCTCAGCTTGTTCAAACCCTTGCCTGGTAGCCCCCCACCACATACACACACATATACAAACTTAATCCCCCTCCCCCATGACCCCAGCCCTCTATAATCACCCCTGCCCCCTCGTCAGAAATGAACCCCATAACCTCCACCAGATACTGAACTTGCTCCTCACTGTTGCCAGCTACCTCTATGCCAGGCACACAGAGCAAGCAACCAGCTCCTGCCCCCCTATGCCCTTTCTGGTTAGGTCTCTCCTATGTCCCTTCTTTCCTCTCTCATAACTAACCAGACATGGAAGATAAATATATTGTGTGGGGCTTGTGTACTTGAGGTGTGAGGCCCATCTTTCTAGGCAAAAGCAGGAGAGCTGAGGTGTCTGCATTTCTAAAGCTGGAGGCTGCTGCTTAGTGCTGCTAGGGCAGGACCCAGTCTTTCCAGCCCCACCTGGACAGGCACTGACTCTGCTTCCTCCCTGCTGCCTGCCCCAGCACCCCATCCCCAGGCCAGAGCTGCCCCTGAGGAGAGGCTGTTATTTTAGAAATTGAGCCTCTGGGACTGCCAACCCCATGCCTGTGGCACAGGAGTGAGAATGGAAGTCTGATCGACCCGCGGGGCACCCTCTCCTCTCTCCACCTCTGAGCACATCCCCTGGGGCAACACCCACACTTACATATTTGAGGAAGAGATGAAGCTCTCGGTGATCTTGGGGGTTGATTGTCGCCTCGAAAAGGGGCAGGAAGATGTTCTCCAGCATCTTCCCAAAGCTTGGCAGCAGCCTCTTTGACCTAAATATGTCACTGGGGAAAGTGAAGACAATGATTAAAGTGGACCCAACAGCCCCCTTGGCCTGAGATCAACCTCAGTCACTTCCTCAGGCAGCTCGTGTCCCCATTTAAACACCCAGAGTAGATTCGGAGATGTGGCTTGAACACGAGTCCTTCCTCTCCTCTCCACCTCTCGGAGACGTCTGCACTACTGGGCATTGGCTGGCAAACTGAGCACCCACCCAAGCCCCTCAGAGAGCTTTCTCAAGCCAGAGGCCACAATGGGAGAGGGTGGGGGGATTGAGGCTGACCAAGAAGATGAGTCCTCCTATTCCCCAGTGATCCAAACTCTCTGCCACTCAGCTCAGTTCCCCTAAACCACAGGCCCCAGCCCGTCCAGGGACCACGAACCCCCAACATCAGCCAGACAACTGGAGAGAGGACAGTGGTGTTCTCTGAGTCAGATCCAGGGGAGGGCCAGCAATGTGGGTCACCACCAGCTCTCTCGCACCCTGATGCCCACCCAACAGGACATCTGCATCCTGCAGCGAGAAGAAGGCAGGCAGCAGTTCCCACCAGGCATTTGCACACATATGTTCTTTAAAGAGTGAGTCTGTCACAGAGACATCTCTGCCCCCACCCCTTCCTATAGGAAACTCCCTGAGAGGAGGCCTAAGCTGGCACTGGAACAGGTCCCACCTCTCAACAGTGCAGACTCTCAGCCCATGCAGGACAGGCCCCACAGGACACAGGCAGACAGCGGGCCGCCTCACTTACTAGATTCGAGGCACCTGGATGATCCAGCGCATGTTAGGAGAGTAGACCTTGTGCTGGATGAACCAGTGGGCCAGGCTGAGCCACTCATCGGGACTGCGGCCGTAGATGGAGAGCCGCGGCTCTGAGTACTGGTACTTGCTCTCCTCCAGCTCCCGGGCCACCTCCTGGCACCAAGAAGAGCTCAGGTCAGGCAAAGAGCACCCCAGCTGCTGGATCCTGCAGCTCCCTCAGCCACCTGCTCCCGGGCTGGGGAGGCCTCATCTACATCACCTTGCTGCCAAGTAAGTACTCACTCGCCTCAGCAGAGGCTCCTTCCTGGAGAGAAAGGCCTTGGGTCTGCACCATCACACGCATAACCAGGCCAGGCAGCAGACACGGCTCCACATGGAGCTCAGCTGCTCCCAGCCAAGCTCAGGCTGCAAACAGACAGGGCAGCAAGGCTGGACGCTGTGAGTGCTCCTGAGGCATACACCCGCCCCCTCCCCCTGCCTGCAGTGGACGCAGGCAGCACCAGCCTGCCCACGCTCTGGAGCTGGGGGCCAGGGCCAGAGCACTGGGCCCCTGAGCACCTCAGCCTCCCTGGAGCTGGATGGTGGATGAACAGGGATTTGGGAAGGAGAAGACAAAGAGGCCATAAGCGCCCCCACTTCTGAAGGCAGATGCTGGCAGGTGTCTGAGGAGGGCTTGGGAAAGCTGAGCGCCCACTCACCTTGACCATCCGAGCAAAGTACTCTCCTCCCAGGTAGTTCTCAGTTTTCAAATACAGGTCACGCAGCTCACTGGCCCCCACAGGATTGTATTTAGAGTTGAACTTGTCAAATCGGTGGAATGTCTGCCGGCCCTAGAGAGACCACCAGCCAGATTCACAGCATCGTTCTGCAGACACCACACACATTCCCATCTCCAGGCCTTTGCCAGGTGGTCTTACACAGGGCCACACCAAAAGAGGCCTTCTCTGTCAATTCTTGCATAAAAACCTGGAATGTCCTGGGGCCGGGACCATGTACCCTCGCTCAGTCAGCCTTGGGGTCCTTTTGTGAGGCCCTCTGTGAAGGAGGGCCAGGGGGCCTTGTGCTCTAAGCTACTAGGGCTAAAAACATGGCTGGCTGAGTGAACAGAGGATTGTAAGCTACTGAACAATCAACAAAGTGTGTCCTGCCCAGCTGGTGTGGCTCAGCGGCTGAGCATCGACCCATGAACCAGGAGGTCATGGTTTGATTCCCGGTCAGGGCACATGCCCGGGCTGTGGCCTTGATCCCCAGTAGGGGGCGTGCAGGAGGCAGCCGATCAATGCTTCTCTCATCATTGATGTTTCTCTCCCTCTCCCTTTCTCTCTCTGAAATCAATAAAAAACATATTTTTTTAAAAAGTGTGTCCTACTACTGCTTAGACTTCATAAGGCACCTTCTCTACCTTATTTCCTTCAATGTTGTGTTTGTTTATGCAACACAGTTTTTTTATTGTGGTAAAATATACATAACACAAAATTTACCATCACAGATCACTTTTAAGTGTACAGTTCAGTGGTATTAAATACATTCATACTGTTGTGCACCATCACCACCCTCCAGCTCCAGGACTCCCTTCATCCTGCTGAACTGGAGCTCTGGACCTACTAAACACCAACTCCCATTCTCCCTTCCCCAGCCCCTGGCAGCCTCTCCTCTCCCTTCTGTCTCAATGAACTTGCCTGCCCTGGGTGCCTCATACAAGTGCAGTCATACTCTACTTGTCCTTTGACTTGGCATAATGTTTTCAAGGATCATCCATATTGTGGCAGACATCAGTACTTTATTCCTTTTTAATACCACATTTTGTTTTTTCATTCATCTACTGACAGGTCCTTGGGTTGCTTCTACCTTTGGGGCATCGTGAATATGCTGCTATAAGCACTGATGTTTTAGTCTCTGCTGTCAGTTATTTTGGGTACATGCCTAGGAGTGGAATTGCTGGATGGTGAGGTAATTCTATATTTAACTTTTCAAGGAAACGCCATACTGTTTTCTACAGTAGCTGCACCATCATTTAGTGTTTTAATAACTTTGAAATGTCAATAGGCATGTGGCATTTACCATTTTATAAGCAAGGAAATAAAAAGCTTAAGTGAATTGCTTAGGGGCGCTCAAATCCTAAGTGACTGAAGTGGAATGAGAACTGGGACCTGCCTGACCCCAAGTCTCATCCTCTTCTCCCCTGTCCCAGGGCTGCTCCCAGCTCTGTTATTCTGAGACCGAACAATCTCTCGCAGTCTCCATGGTTAGAAGAGAAGGAACTGCGTACAGTCAGCCTCTCCCCCAGCACAACCGTGGCTTCTTCCCCGGGAGCTGAGTGCCCAGCCGGGGCTGCCCGAGGCAGCAGGCGGAGGCTCGCTCACCGCGTGGACGTCCAGCGAATCCACAGTCAGGTCGTAAGGGTCCATGTGCAGGCTGTCGAACACCTGCCGCAGGGTGATCTTCTGGCCCTGCTTCTCGGCCACGATTCTGTCGGGCTCCGTCTGGTACGTGTGCTTGATGAAGCGCAGCAAGTGCTTCTGATTCATGCAGGCAGCCGCGTGGATGTGCGTGTCCACCTGCAACACGGTGCCCACCAACCTGTGAGCCAGGCCGCCTCCTCTGGCACAGGGGTTAGGACACCCAACCCTCTGCGCCGTGCAGAGCCTCAGCACCTTCTGGGCCAGGAAGGCAGCCCCCACCAAGGCCTAGATGCCCCCTTCCCATTTCTTCTCCAGACTGTGGAACTGGTCTCCCTCCCTCTAGCCTTGCTACCCAATCCACCTCCTTCCAGCATCAAGGGATATTTTTAAATCATAGACTGGATCCAGCCACTCCTGTTAACAGAACATCAACTCCCCTCATGTCTCCAAGGTTCAGCTCAAGCTCCTTAGCCTGGGATTCCAGGCTTACTTCAAGCCTTAACTCTCACCCGCCACAGCCCTGCTTTATGCTCCGGCCATGCCACGCCACTTCCAGGCGCCCAAGGCACCACGCTACCCCACATCACTTTGCCCATGCGTGTCCTGGGCCAGGCATTCCTCCCTTTTCCTCATCGGTCTCAGCCACCTGGAGGCTTCCTACAACCTCCTCCACTAGAAAGCCAGTCCTGATCCCCCAGCACAGTCTCCCTCACCCAACCTGGGACCCAGCACAGACTCTCCCTGTACTGTACATGTCCTCCTGATCCCTAATATTTTCCTGTCTACCCCTTCACTAGGACAGGGAGCTCCTCAAGAACAGGGACCTTGTCCGATGCATGTAAGTTTCCAGCACCTTCCCCAGAGCCTGCTCCAATGTATTAGTTAAATCAATGGATGGATGAATAAATGAACCAATATAATTAATAGGTTCCAATAATTTTTATGATATCCACATCCTCATATAACACTTAGGGCCCACCAAATGCCCCACAAAATCCCACTCTACCCACTGATCTCTCTTGGAACCCCCAGAGCCTTCCCTTCAGCTACTAGCCCCAAAGAAACAGAGCCCTGGCTGAGCTGAGGATAACCTGAGGCCACAGTGGGCATCCTGGCTCCCCTTCCAAGAACCCAAAGGGCCTAAGGGAGGTTCCCAGGGAAAGTGGCAGCCGCCTCACAGGCCAGGGTGCTGCTGGCTGCCACGAGACACTCTGCAGTTGCTGCTGTGGCCAATTGGGCACTCTGCCAGGGCCAGGGTGAGGAGGCAGCTGACCTCAGGCCCGGGAATGCTGTCAATGCTGACTGGGCATCTCCAAGACATGCCAACCAGACATTTAATCTACTGAACCTCTCTGGGCATTATACCAGCCAGCCTGTGTCATTGGCCACATCACTCACTCATCAAGGCCCTTCCTGCCATTAACTCAGAAAGAAAGACCCCTAGACATCAGAGAAACAAACCAATTCAAAGCACCAAAAGCACAGTGTAAAGGCTCGGGCACCTCAGGGCTGTGCTGGGCTCATGTGGATGCACAAGAGAAGGTCAGCTTGACTTAGGGCAGCCAGACACAGCTGGGCCCAACCACCTCAGCATGACTCGGCACATTCTGGGTCTTCTGGTCCTGTCCTCCAGCTTACCAGTGACACATCACAGGGGGTACAGTCTGTCTTTACCCTCCTGAGTCACAAGATGAGGGAGGAAAACAACTTTACAATCCAGTAAGCATCCAAACTCTAAAATCTCCAAGATGATTATTTTTAGAACACGGAAAAGACATCACTGGATATCAGTATTTTCAATTTACTGCAAGATCCAAGTGCATTCCTTCTTTCACCTAACAGCCAGGTCTAAACAAACAGTAGAGTTTCCAAACAGGGCTGGTCTATGCCTGGCCCTGAGCCAACACTGACCGTTTCCATACCATGGCGGGCATCAATAATCAATTACAGCCTCTTTCCACTAAGCTTTGGGAGCAGCCTGAGGCAGCCACTCCCAATTGGTCATTTGACACAGAAGAGGAAACCCATTTGCTGTCCCTAATATGACACAAACCAGAGTGGATAACGCCTAATTCTACCCAACTCCCAAGCAGCAAGCACACTCAGACTCCCATTCTTAGCTCTAAACAGAAAATAATTTGTCCGTTACATAGCTGCTGGTTAGGCCTCATGATGCCATAACCCATGACCTGCTGCAATGTTGCAGGTACTTTCACAAATACTACCCACATCATGGCCATGCACAGCCCCTCAGAGCCCGGCCTTGGAGCCCCTGCCCCCTGACATTGCCAGACACCTAGGGAATGTGGAGGCCACCCTCCCAGCCCATCCTGGATTTCAGAAAGCCAGCTCTCCTGCCATAGTAGATGCTTCCAGGAGAAGATAAAACAGCCAGCCCCCAGAAGGCAGGGAGGGACAGACACTGCCTGACTCAGAGCAGACCTGGGCCTGTGTTTAGGGACTGGCTGTGGTGGCAGAGAACAGGCGACTGTGTCATAGCACAGCAGTCAAGGCCATCAATGTCCAGACAGCAAATTAACCCGAGTGACAGGGAACCCTGAGGATGAGCCCTACAAGGGCTCTCCCACATCGTGGCCAGAGAGCAGCTGGTTGGCCCAGGAATAGCCACTAGGACCCCACCTCAGAAGCCAATAGTGTCAGAACCAGTGCTGTGAGCAAGGACACCTCGGCCCAGGCAGCAGGAAGCAATCAGGCCCAGAGCATTCACACACAGAGGGCAGGGCTGCATTGGGCTTGGAAACCCATCTGTGCACGTGCTAGACATGTAGGTACATTTGGGCAGGGCCGAGAGGAGCTGGCATAGACACTGAGGCACCCACCTGTCTGAACACCTAAGGTGCACAGAGAAGGAACAAATGGTGCTTGAAGGTGAAAATGCCAGGTAGGTGGCACCTATGTACATCCTTTCACTTCTGTCTGGAGATCCCCAAACACTTCCATAAGCCTCAAAGCCCATGAGCTGAAGCCAAACTCTCATTTCTTAAGGATCCCATCCAAGTGGGAGTCCATGCCAGACTCCATGATGCTTAACAGACATGATCCTGGGGCCTCCCAGAGGGAGCCTTCTGTCTACCATTGCTAAGTGCTGCCCACCTGAGCTGGGCTTTCCCAGAGGAGCCACATCGTCTCCAGCCTTCCTCCCTTATCAAAGCAGATCCAGGGCGGGGCAGTCCACCAGAGGCCCCCTCTGGGACAGAGGCCCCTATGGAGATGATGACTCTACTGTGACTCAGGTGCAGACATTCCTCCTGCAGGCAGATAGCCTAATCCCCACCCTTCCCTCTGAGCTTCTCCCCCAGCTCATCACCATCCCGCAGCTGCCTCCCTGCTTCCTCTGAGAAACCCACAGGCTCCTGCATGATCCAGAGCCCCACACACCTCTGCAGCCTCACTCCCCCCACAGCCCACCACGACTCTCCCCCTACACCTGGGCTCCAGCCACAATGCACTATTTGCAGTTATACCAACGCAGGACTCAGAGTCTCTCTCTTCGAATGCCACTTTCTCCCTCCTGGTATTTGCATAAGCTGTTACCTCTGCCCAGAATGCCATCCATTCCATTACCTTACCCCACCCTCCCTGGCTAAATCCTACTCTAAGTCAGCTCCGTTCCGGCCTCTCCCCAAAATCATTCCTGTCACAATACTTGGAACTTCTTGTAGACAGGAAGCGACTCTTGCTCAACATCAAATGCCCCATGCTTAGCACCACTCCCTAGCCTCACTGTATATTAGTTAAATGGAAGAAAATGCAAAAGCCAAAGACCGAGAACATTTACCACCTGAGCCCAGGCCAAGCCCTCGCATCCACTCTGGGGGAGGGACAGAGAGCACATACGCCTTTACATACACCTGATCCCAAAGGAAGCAGAATCACAAACTCCCAAGTCCCAAGAGGGCTTACCAGCCTTTTCTCTGCATGATGAATTTAATACACCCTCTACTTTAAAAGCAACCTGGCCTCAACTCACGACCAATTACAGGACATGCCCACTTTCCGAGGAAGGAGGACGCATCCGACAGGCACACAGCATGGGTGCCAAGTACCATCGGGGCCTAACGGCCTGAGGCACAGAAGGCAACATGCTGGGCTTCCTTCTGCACATACACAGCACCTGCTCTGGCCAAGGACAGCCACCCAAGGGGACTAGCCTCAGACCTGCTCAGGGCATCCCCGTGGGTCGGGAGGGCGACCCGGAGGGGCCTTAACACTGGCCCAGGAACGCACCTTTCTCACATTGTAGAAGTCTCGGTGGGGGTTACTCTTCAACTCTTTGAACTCAGACATTTCATTTAACATCTCGTGAAGGCTGAATTTGGATTCCAGAAAGTTCAATCGCCGGTGACAATATGTTTTTCTGCAGGTTGGGAAGAGGGAGAAACCATAGTTGAGGAGAAGTGTCATCAAGGTCTCCAGCTTGTCCGCAGGGACCGACACCTTGGGTGGAAAGTCAGGAAGGGGGCGGCGAGGGGTGAGGCGGTTCAGCTCTCTGCCCACCCAGCTGAGCTGTCACCACATCTGTGTGCTCTGAGATGAGCGGGCAGCTGGTACAGGGCAGTGGAGCTGACTCTGCAACCTCATACAGGTTCTTTGACTTCGGGCTCTGTGTGCTTAGGCAATTGATCTTGAGCCTCTATTTCCCAAGAACGAGTAAGGAGCAGGCAATGCCCAAGGTGAACAGGAGGGTTAAACTGGTCAGTGCATGTGAAGGGCCTGCCTCTGAGAAGAGTGGATGCTCAGTGAAAGTCTCCCTCCTTCGCTCCTTCCTTTTCTTTTCCTACCATCTATCCTCAGCCACCTTTAATTCTTTGAATGCAGTTTAACTTCCACCCAGGAGATCAGTAATACAGCCAAACTCTCAGGCGTGACCTGCCCACCCTGGCATGCAAAGGAGCCACCCTCTGACCAAATGCCTCCCCCAAACCCCCAGATCCAAGGACCTCTCAACTCTGAGGTTTCATTGTGGGCAGATGAGAAATGTAGAGATGTTTGTTACTAGAACAGAAATCTGTGCTGGGACTGATGCCCCCCACCAGCTGGCAAAAAAGCTATTGGGGGTGGGTGGAGGTGCTCACTGCTTGAAGCCAACTGCCAGCCCGCACGCAGCCCGGATGCCTGGCCACACGCCTGTGCCCACAGCCACAGGAACCTTCAACCACAGTTCATGCCACCTGCTTCCTTGTGCCCCCCACAAACAGCAGCTCCTTTAGCATCCATCACTCAGACATTCACAAAGAGCGGCTGCGGCCCCAGGAACAGCCCTGTCATCTGTCAGCCACGATGAGCCCCAGAGAGCAGCACAGGAGCGTCTCAGGTCACAAGGGATTTCAAAGGTCATCTCGCCCAGGCCCTCTCCCCAGCAGGATTCACCTTAAACCAGTCACGAGTATACACACTTTTCCATGTCCAAACGTTGCTGACTGGTCACAAGATAACTCATGTCTGCACTTACATTAATTTAAGTATTTTTAAACACCTTGCTGACCGCTCACGACGGAAAAGTAGCTGACAGCACAGGAGACTTCTGGCTCAAAATAGCCGGTCACCAAGGTGTTAGCCTCCCAGGCAGGACAGCCACTGAGCACACCCTCACCCTCTTTCCCTCTCTCCTAAGGCCTTCCCTCAAAGCTCCTCACACTGGCTGAGGTGAGCCTCCCGGGAACTGTCCTGCCCCCCTCCCAGGTCTTATCTGCCCTCAGATCAGTGAGGAGCAAGAGCCACCTGCCCATCCCCTGGAGCCCACTCTCCTCCCTTGGAGACTGGCCAGCCATTCTCAGTAAGACCCAAAAGGCAGAGCAAGAGAGAAATTCCTCAGTGGTGACCAGCACCAACTCCCTCCCCCAGAGCCCTAGTCCTGCCCGGGCACACCCAGTACAGCCACTCAGGGTCCAGTCCTGCTGAACTTCCATTGCTGATTAGCTTGAGTGCTCACCAAGAAGTGAGGGGCCAAAGTCAAGAAGACAACTGCCTGCCCGGTTAGCACGAGCAGAGCCCACAAGCATCCTGGGGGTCCTGGCACAAAGTTCCCAGGCTCCCTACACCTTCCCCTCCAGAAAACCCAACACCTGAAGCAACAGCCTTCATTGTTCCTCCACCATCTACAGGAATGCCCTGGGCTGGTGACAGTTGCAAGGCTGTCATCATGCCTGGGGAGAAGGGTGACAGCCATTCTAAGCTGCACAGATGGCCACCAGCAAACAGAAGCTCCACCCTTATGCATGCAGGACAGGTAATACCATCTCTAAGAATGCACCAGCCTTTGATGGAGATTGTTGCAGAAACCCACGGAGCACTGGGTAAAGGGGAAACCACTCTCTTTCTGGGATGGTTTAAGTGCGAGAAAACCCAGAGCAAAGGGGTCACCTAGATGGCTTTTCCCAGCCCCTTTCCTACAGAATAGCACTCGTGCAAGAAGAGGCAGACCGGAGGGAGGAAGCTGGCTTACGTGGGGCCGTCAGTGATCAGGGCCAGGATGTGGCTCATGTCCACTGTGTAAGTCTCCAGGTCGGGGTAGGGCAGGCTGTGGGGCTCCTGGCGCTCCAGCATCTTCTTGTTATCGTACACGAAGAGGATGCCCCCCTGCATTCGAACCAGGTAGCCCAGGTTGGGGGGAGCGTCATCTACACAGTAAGGGTCTTCCTGGGGCAGTGGAAGAGGGTGGAAGTCTGCAAAACAGGACTGAGTGATAGCAAAGTGCCCTTGGCCTCATGAGCTCACATGGGCACGTTCCTGGTGAGGCTTGCCCTGGTCTTCCTATAAAACCCACTACCCCCACCCACACCCACCCTCCCTGGCATCTCATACCCCTCTCTACAATTTATTTTGTTTCCTTAGCACCCACTACTATGTAAAATAATTTCACTTAGCTATCCTGGGTAGCATATGTTTGTTTGGTTCACTGCTGTATCCCCATTTCCTAGAACAGTCCCTGGAACATGGGTGGTGAATTTTTTTAATTTAACTGAAATGAGCTGAAACCTCCTGGGCTTGTCAGGGCCACCAGGTGTACTCAGAAGGGCATAACTGTCCCGGTCCTCCTACAGCTTCCTGAGCCTGGGGCCTGCCAGGTGGCTAGATGAAGCAGCGCCCCCCTCCCCCAGATGAGCACAGAATAAGACTCAGCTCCCACAGAGCAGGGAACGCCAAGGGCAGAACTGGCTGTCCCACTGTCATGGATTGAGTTAGCCCATGGGAGGCAGAAAACTATCCTTGGCTACTTTCCAGCTATGAGACCTTGAGCAAACCACTTGACCTCTGATCCTGTCTGCTCACCTGAGGATTGCACCCCCCTGCCTTAACAGCCTGTGGCAAGGGCTGCAATAGTGGGTACAGGAAAATGCTTTGTAAATAGAAATGCCTGACACATAAATTATACGGCATTATTCTCGTAATGACTTTTCCTGACTCTTGCTAAGCATTATCTCTGACCAAGAAACAGGTTATGCTTAATAGCACTGGAACTGGGGGCCTCCGCTCTGCTCAGGAGTCCCTAAATGTGCCAGTGGCCTATGAGATGCAGCTAGGACAAAGACCTGGGTGAAGCCACAGCCTCCACCCCACCACACTCACGCTCAGGACCCCTGGGAGCTCTGTTTTGTATAAAGTACATGTTTGACAGTCATCCATGTCTGCCTTTGCCAAAAATGGCGCAGATGGGATCAATGTCCCTCAGACAGACAGGGAAATGGGCACAGAAGGGCTGAGATTTACCCAGGGCCCCTGGTGGTAACAGATGCTCAAAGTCCAGGTCTCAGAGCTTCCAGGAAGCCAGAGATGGCAGCAACTACACCCAGGAGGTAGCCTGGGCCACGGGCACTGGCACAGACCACCAGGCCCTCAGGGGATCCCCCACCACCAAATTTCAATATCGAGGTTTCCTGTTGTCCTCATTCATGTTACTTAGTTACAGTCTCTATCGGTCCTAGGTCCTTCACAGGCCAAACAGAGCCCATCAGAAACCATCCTGCCCTCGCTGATCTCCCCTGCCCCAAATCCACAGCATAAACATAGGCTCCATTTACTGAACACTCCCTAGATGCCAGAACTGCACTCAGTAGTTCACATACATTCCTTCATCTAATCCTCTCAGCAAGCCCAGAGGTCAGGTATTATTAGTATTCCCATTTTACAGACTGAGAAACTGAGGTTTGGAGAAATCCTTGCCCAAGAAAGTGGCAGAGCTTAGGTCAGAGACTACTTCCCCTGCCCTGGAACGTGCCTCCTGTAGTTACCCTCACCCCACCCTCCCACCAATTCAGCACTTAATGTCTGATCGTGTTGTTTTAAGTACCCCACGAGACTGCCTGTCTCTCTGAAAACTCCCATGATCCGGACTTTCATCTCTCTCCTAACTTCCACAGCTCAGCTCTATGCAGGGTGAGACACGTCGAATCAAACTTGAGGAAGCCAGCATACTCATTATAGGAGAACCCAACACCAGAGCCCTGCCCTTACACCACCATCTGGGGGAAATGCGTCCAGCCAGTAAAAAGTCCTGACCAATTCTAGGGTCATGTCCACTTGGGACCCCACCTGCAGGCACAGCGTCATACCTGGGAGGCCCTCTGCCGGAGGGGCTGTGTCCGCCAGGGGACGACCCAGGTACTGGGCCGTGGTCCGAGGGAAGCGGTGATAGGCAAGGCGGGCATACTTCTCCCGGATCATCAGGGCCTTGGCCAGGCTCTTGGCGGCCTGCTCATAGTCTTCCACGGTGATCTGCAGAAGAAGGTGTGCAGAAAAGAGTTCACGAGTTCTGTAGTTTCTGCAGAAAAGAGCTCACCGGCCTGAGACCAAGATCTGCTGCAAGGCTCACCCTTGGCTGGCAGCTGGGAACTTAGGTTTCTGGAACATTCCCATCATTCCCTAGTAAGAGTGGTTCATTGTGCCTAAACTGTTTGCACAAACAGGTTTATGTGGAACACCTGATTTCCTCCTGGGAGTCTGGAATGTGGGGAAGCGCTATGCAGATGTGTGACCAGCCTCATAAAAGCCTTGGGCGCTAAGTCTCTCAAGGGCTTCCATGGTAGATGACACTTCACATGTACTGTCACAATCCAATGCTGGGGAATTAAGTGTGTTGTGGCAACTCCACCGGGAGAGGGCCTCCTCTGGACTCCGCCCCAGGGACCTGTTCCCTGGCTGGTTTTGCTCTGTATCCTTTCACCGTAATAAATCCTCAGCTTTGTGCTGAGTCCCCAAAGTTCTCCTAGCAAATCGCTGGCCCAGGGGTGGTCTTGGTGACCCGACACAGGGGGAGAGTTGGGGAAGGAGGCAGGTACTCCGGCCACGACACCCACAGCAGGCCTCCAGTGCTGCTGATTAAAGCACAAGCCTGCGGCTGCACCCAGCACACGAGGCAAAGCCTGGACCCCGTCCCACATGAGGGTGGGCATCATCGTTCTCAGTGGGAAAATATATGGGTCCTTTGGAGGTAAAAATAAAAACTCCTGCATGCTCACTCTGCTGCTCTGCCACCCCAGGCTCCTGATTCATCTGGCACCCCAATTCACCCAGGCAACAAGCACTTACGGACACGCGTCATGTGCCAAACCCTCTCCAGAGATTTCATTTGGTCCTCACTGCAACCCGTCTTACTAATGGGGGAACCGGGACCCAGAGAGGATAAATCCCCCGCCAGAAGTCACAGTGTCAAACCTCAGGGCCTGGTTGGGCTGATTCCCAGAGCCCAGGGATGCTCTGCTTTCCTGGGGCTGCCTCTTGTTCAAAGATAAATGAGATAAACTCCCACCGCCCAGTGGGCGCATCCATCTTAGTCCGTCTGGGAAGGATGCGTGGGGCAGAAATCTGAATGTGCTGGGGAGACAAGCAGCTAAACTGTCATAACAGCGGATACAGGACACAGCAGAGAGGGGACACGATGGGGGTGTGAGGAACTTAGGGAGGCTGAGGCCTGGAAGTGTCCTCCTCTACTTTAATTAAAAAATCTTTTTAGTTTTGAAATATTTAAACATACAGACAAGCACTGAAGGTAGTTTGACAGACACCCATGTACCTGCCTTCCAGAGTGAACAACTTTAATATTTTTCACCATTGTTTCAGATCTCTTACAGGTTTCAATAAATCAATCATCACAGACACGGCTAAAGCTCTACCCCTTCCCTCCCCCACCCGCTCCATCCTCAGAGGGGGGAAGCTGGTATATCTTTCCCATGCAGGTTCTTATCCTTTTACTGAATCTTACTCCTTGCTTTTTGCCAAGGAAGTAGCTTCTCCTTTCCTGACTCCAAGTGTCCCCAGGAAGGTGTGTTAATTCCATTTTAGCCCTTCTGGTGGACGGCTTTCAGTGGATTGCTTCTGAGAGCAGCAGAAATAGACGAGCAACACAACCTTAGACAAAGGCAAACACACTGTTTGCAGAACTGATGGACCCGGCACAGAAGGGGCTCAGGCCACAGCTGAAGATATCAGGGAGGGTGCTCAAGATCCCAGGGGACCACTGACCACCATCCAACTTGTAGGCACCGCAGGCCTCATGCCTGACAGCACACCCACTGGGAGCCAAGAAGATCTACAAGGACAGCCTATCTGCCATAGACTTGCAGCTCTCTGGGACCAACTGCCCAGTTCAGGGGCGCCATGCCCTATGATGTGCCAGCCAGAAGACTGACTGAAAGAAGACAGTTAATATCCCAGGTCAATGTCCTCCCATTCAGCTAGCTGTCAGCCCACCTCAACGCTCCCTTTCCACTGCTCTGCCCACACGCCAGAGGCTGGGGGGACACCAAGGACTCCTGGGCAGGACACTGCATCTTCAGGCAAGGCCTGCATTGTTTCCAACTGAACCAAAATGCCCACCCATAGGCACTTAAATAAGATCCTACACATCCACCCAGTGAAATACTATGCATTTGTTAAAAAGAACGAGGAAGTTCCTTATCTAACAACATGGCATTATCTCCAAGATGTACTGTTAAGTGAAGTGAGGCTCAGTTGTGTAATATGCATAGTAAACTACCATTTGTGTACAAGTAAATAAACTATGTGTACATAATTAATTGTAGGTACACAGGCCAACTATGTGAGAACACACAAGAAACCAAAACCAAGGGCTGCTTCTGAGAAAGAGAATTGGGAGGCTGGACAACTGATATAATTTTTGCACCTTTTAAATGTTATACCATATGCAAGGATTCTCTATTGCCCAAAAAAACAATATATTTTGTTAAAGTAGGGAAAATTTTGTAAGCGGAGTCGTAAGCCACTTTGCTTTCTCAGGTCCACTGCATATGCTAAAACTACTATTTAAGAGGAGAGAGGATAACTACGCCAACTGAGGCACCGGCAGTAGGCTGAAGGCCAGGGAGATAGAACCAAACTTAACCCCACACTAACTTCCGTGATATTTCTCTTCCCGAAGCCATGAAAATGCATCGTCCTACCAGGTGAAATCAGGGCACTTCCAGTGACCGCGTGACTGACGCGGTGCCCGCCAGCTCGTGCACGTCCTCGCCGAGACCCTCTCCCTGGCTGGGGGTGGCCTGCACCTCAGGCGCTGGGCGAGCGCGGGGGAGGCGCTGAATCAGCAAACCAGCCAACACCGGACTTGGAACCCATTCGGCATTTGGGAAGCTGCCTCAATGGGCTACAGGATCAGAGAACTGCGGAGCCGACGGGCCATGGCCACGCCGCGCCAGCTCACAGCTCAGGCCTCCTCACAGGGTGGACAGCGCCCTAGACACCCATACTCCACAGCCTCAGCCAGGACCCCCCCCTCTGATTCCTATGCCTCCAGCCAGCTGCCTCCCAGGCACTCACAGACCAGGCCAGGGTTCAGGGCTGTGTGGAACCCAATGGCCCAAGGGGCTCTGGCCTCTGCACAAGGCACACAGGACCCTTACATGGCCCCCGGGGGAGCCCGCGGAGAGGGGGAGTGGGAGACACCTTACCCCGGCACAGTAATCTCCGCTGATGGTTACCCGCTGGTACTCGGGCATGGCATAGGGACCAGGCACAGACTGGGAAGTGGCTCCAGAGACCACAGGGGTTGTGGGAGACATGGCTGGAGTGGTTGTCGGGGGGCCCTTCCAATCTTGCTGCGTTGGCATTTGCAGAGACAGGGACTGGGACCGAATCATCTTGAAACTTTTCTTTCTAAAAGCCAAGCACAAGGAAAAGTGGAGATGTCAGTAGCTAATTGGGGTGAATGACAAAGAGTCTTGTTACGCACATGGCAGGAGAATTCTGCTCAAATTAATCACTGATGCTGACCCTACGTTAAGAAGATCTAATTATCTACACCTTCCTCTTGCACACACTTGCATAAGATACAGAACAGCCATCCAGACACCCATCCCTGCAGTCACCAAGAATGGCTCTCGGCTGTTTGCTCTGTTAGAGTAGCGGTGTCTCAGGCGACAAGGCAGACCACCCTGCAGGGGTCTAACAGTCAGACAGAAGAGGTCAGGACAATGTCAAACCAACCAGCATGCTGTCTTCAGACAACCCAAACTCTACGTCCCAGTGTATGACAGTCTCAGGAAGGACTGTGAACAGGGTCACAGAGAGAAGTGGCACTGTATTTCAGAGTTAGAAATTTGGAGCATTGGTGCCAGAAGACATCAAGGTGATGGACCAATCCCACCTCCTTGTTACGTAAGATAAAACTCAGGGGCCCAGAGATGGGAAAGGCAAGGTGGCAGCTAGTCTCCCCGCTCCCTGGTACCTGCTCTACCCGGTCACCCCTGCTGCTCCTTCCTCAAGCCTGCCATGTGCCTTCCTAGCTGCTTCTGCCGGGCAGGCACAGAGCCATGTCTCTGTCATGGAAAACGAATTAATCAGCATCAATTTCCGGTCCCTCTGGACCTGTCACCTTGGCACCAAAAGATGATTTCATGAAGTCTTGGAGTAGACACAACAAGGTTGTTTGAAATGCCACAAGCTCATGCTTATTTGCAATGCTGATTTGTGAATACTCACCTTTCTCATTAACTAAATAGTAATGTTTCAAATGACAACACCCCAAGTCCTAGGACCCCAGGAAGGGAGTTAACAGCAGTGAGGTGAGGCCTGAGCACTCTGCTCTCCCATGTCTTTCTGCCTCCAATGGAACCCAGCCCCTTGGCATTGCCACCCAGTGGTGTCCAATGCCAGAAACAGGGTGACTACTTGCCCTACCTTGTGCCAGAGGGCCCAGAAGCCTCGTAAGTATTTATCCCACTACAACCAGGGCCTAGAGCCACCGCAAAGGACTCGGTGACAACCATGACCCACCAGAGTCTATTGAACCCCTCCCTCTTCTCTAGGCACCAGTGACACCTGTAAGGTATGGGAAATCGGTTAATCTCTAAAAGAGCCTCAGGGCTCATAGGAAGCAGCTGACTTCCTACTGGCTCTTGGCCAGACGTCCTCACAGACCCACTGACGAATTTTCAGGAACCACAGTTCTTTTCCCTGATTATACACCCTCTGCTTGCCATGGCGCTCTTGTTCCTATCACCTCTTTGGAGACAAGGCTGTTTACACCTGGAAAATAGAGACAAGGAGTCTGTCTTTGCCCTGCCCCTGGCCCTGCATAACAGGTGCACTGGGTTGCTTGGGAAACTCCGGCCCAGGCTTCCCCAGCCTGCCATCCATTCATCACACAGAGCTGAGCCAAGGAAGATGCCAACTCATGTCAGTCCATCATCACCCTGAGTAATGAGGTTCTCGCTTTGGCATTGCCTGGACATTCACATTTAGAGGAAGAGCCATAGTTTAGGCTCCCTCTCACATTCTGACAGGCTCCCTCGGGTCCCGTGAGACTGGCTTCTGTGTCACTCACATGCCTGCCAGGTCACTGTTTTTAATCTCTATGCCAACTTCCACACATGCCTCAGCCAGTGCCGCCTGATGGCTGGTCCCGCCAAGGAGAAGCAAGGTGACACGTAAGGTGAGCAACAGGTATGAACAGTAAAAAAGCCCCCTGCTCTCAGAAAGCTGGAAGGCTGACTAAGCCAACACCCCACCAGGCTAGTCCTAGGAATGTCCATATTCTTCTGCCCAGTGAGGAAGCCAGTATCCACCTGCTAGTGTCCAAAGAATTGTCCTTCTTGAAGACACCCATTTCGGCTCCAGCCTTGGTCTTCAGGAGAGTCCCAGATGTCACATGTGAACACTCATGGGCCAGAGCTCAGACTTTGCAGACACAAGGTTTAACACCAGATGGATCAACTCCTCCTCAGGGCCCACTCACCCTAGGCAAAGGCTTGGAGTCACCGGAGCTAACTACTAAGCTTATATCTCAGATAATTGGGAAATGGAGCCCATGGAGGGGGCCCTGTGCTCATTTTCTCTTCCTGCGTGACAAACTGCCACAGCTGGATGGCTTCAAACAACACCCACTCACTGGCTCACAGTTCTGCAGGTGAGAAGTCTGGGTGGACATGGCTGGGCTCAATGCTCAGGGTATCAAAGGCCAAAATCAAGATGTTGGCCATGCTGAGCTCTTACCTGGAAACACTGGGAGAAAATCCGCTCCCAAACTCAGTTAGGGTGTTGGCAGAATCCAGTTCCATGGGGCCACAGACTGAGGTCCCTAGTTCCCTGCTGGCTCCTGGGCAGATGTCACCCTTATTCTTGCACACAGACCCCTCCACCTTCAAAGTCAGGCATAACACCTGGTTCTGGTTCTCCGAATCTCTGATCTCTTCCTCTATGACCACCCTGGGAAAGCTCCCTGCTCTAAGTGCTCATGTGATTAGGTGAGACCCACCCGGTAACCTCTCTATCTTCAGGTCCACTGTGCCACATACCACAGCATAATCACAGGATTGATGTCTCGGGTACTCAAAGGGCCTAGAGATTAGAAAGGGACATCTCTGGGGGCCATTTTAGAAATTCTGTCTCCCATAAGCCCATATCTTGTTCCATTCTATACAACCGAGGCTCAGCCAGCAAAGGTGAGAGCAGCAGGTGTGTGTGCGTGTGTGTGTTCACACACCATCCTTCTTTCCCTGTCAAAACTACCTGAAGCCCGTGTCACAACAATAAAAGCTTACCATAACCATTATCTGAATTATAGAACCATGGGGTCTCCTGGCTAGAAAGAACTTTAAAGATGGCACACTCTAACCCTCTCACAAAGGCACCTTTTGCTTGAATACCTCCAGTGGCAGAGAGCTCACTACATTTCTGAATAACACATCAGCATTCAATCATCGTTCAAAAAACATCTGCTAAGCACCTACTCTGGGCCAGACCAGTGCTAGGCACGTAAACACAAGGTATTAGGCACGTAAACAAAATATGATCTGTTGCCACTGTTAAAAAGCACTTCCTTATGATGGGCCAGGATCCATCTGTCCACAGTCCCACCTGCTGCACCTCATGCTGCCCCTGGGGCACCAGAGTAAGCTGGCTCACTCTGCCACAGCTGGCACACCCCCTTGTTCCCAGCCCACATTCCACCTGGCAGACACACACTCCTGCCAAAAAGCTGGCAGGGTGTGGAGCTATGAGGACACCAGCTCCAGGCCAGCCAGGAAGTCCAAAGGGCCTGGGAGCAGCTTTGTCCTCTTGGGCCACAGGGACCTTCTTGCCTGACCAGGTTGTCAGCACGAGATGGTGAACAGCATCGCTCAGTTGTTCTGATGCCCCACCTGCTCTATGGCCCTTGGCTGCCTCTGCCATTCACTGTGTCCCACCCTGACTCGGCCCCATTCCCCAGCCCTCCTCAGCCCCCAGGAACCAGGTGGCCCGGAGTCTTGAGTCATAACATCTGATGTACACACCAAACCCAAGTGAAGAATGAGGGCCCTCCGTGCTCCTAGAGAACAGCCAGCATCTTCCCAGGGCCCTCGGATGCCCACCGCCCTGTGGAGTCTGCCCAGAGGACTTCCAGGCAGGGAGCTGCACCAGAGCAAAGCTTTCCCCAAAGGCTCTCAACTGTGTACAGTGAGCCTGGAGGCCACCTGTGGACCCCACTCCGTTCAGTAAACGACTGTGTGCCAGGCCTTGGGGGTAGATGGATAGGTAAAATACAGCCCCTGACTCCAGGGGCTGACTGGCGATGGCACTGACGGACAGTTCAACAGACTGTCATCATTGCCATCACATAATGTGGTCGGTGTGGTGAGAAGCCCTGAGAATTTTGGGATCCAGAGGAGATAGCTAATCTAGACTGGGGGTGGGCACAGTGGAGCAGCAGGGTCAGAGGAGGCTCCCTGCATCATTCCCAGAGGGAGAGAGGAAAATTCCAGAATTGGGAGGCTTGTTTGAACCCCTCCCACACACACACAGATCGTCCTGGCAGCCCCTACCCCTCCAGATGAGATACTCTAAAGGTTCAGGCAGGAGTCACAAACAGCATGGGTTTTATTAACAATGGAATCTGAATGCCATCAGGTGGGGCAGGCAACTCCCCAGGTCCACAGGCTCGCCTGTGCCCACTGCTTCCACTGTCACTGCACTGATTCACATGAAAGTGAGGACCCCAGGTCCAAGGAGGGGAACGGCCGAAGAGCTGACACCCACTCTGTGACTGAGACCAGAGGAGAAGGCGGAAACAGCTGACCACGACACACGATGAGCCTGCCGGAGGGCCACGCACAGGGCACTGGTGCCCACAGACAGCGCCTACTCCTCTGCCTACGCCCGTCCACGTGAACCGCCACCTCAGCAGGTGGGCAGAGCTCTTATTTGCACACCTGAAGCCCAGCAGGTGTAAAGACTCAGAGCCTCAAGCCCAGGCTCTCCCTCCACTGCCCTCTGCTAGGTAACCAGCCCTCCCCCGTGGCTGTCCCAACTCCCTCCGCCTGACCAAGGGCGGGTCTCCACTCCCCTGCCTCCTCCCTGCCTCCCCTTCCCAAGGCCTTTCCAGCTGCCCTTCCTCCTGAAATATCCCAGAGGTCAAAATGAAGTACAAGCTTTACCACCTTTTAAATTAAGTCTTAGAAGCTCCATTCTCAACATGAAAAGCAGATGAATTGACTGTTTTCATATGAAGCTCCTTTGTCAATGTATCTGAATGAACAAGTTGCCTAACCCTGATTAAAGAAGTTTCATAAAATAAAATGACCTAACAACACTTTAGCTGGGCTATGCTCAATTCATAACAAATATCTGTTTATCTACTTTACTCAGTACATTCTTGAGAAAGTAGTTGTTCTGGAGAG